GTTTAGAAGGCAACATGCAGGTGGAGCACCAACACTGCCAACTCCTGATTCTGGGGCCAATGAGATATCTCCATGGCAAGGCGGGGGTAAATATGAACGTCCTCGGGGGAACCGGGAAGATGATGACTGTTCTTTGTTGCTTCCGTTTGCAGTCGTTCAGAGTAGACGATGACACGGCACTTCGACCCCCGAGATAGCCCCGAATATAAACCACCAAACTTGCGGGCCCCAACGTCGTGAGCAAGTTTGTCCAGTGGTCGGAGGAGTCCAAGTGCATCCAGTTAGCGCCATAGTAGGTCACCAGTGGGTGCGAGTGCAGTGAGGTCGAGTGGCAGACTTGGACATGAAAAAGTGACGAATGCAATTTGCCAGACATTCAGGCTGAGAACGCGCACAGTGCCTTTGTTTGCGGTGGAGCCAATGGCGACGCGATTTCGAGTGGGATCGGCAAAAGCGAAAGCAGCTGCAGGGCCCACTGTGCCGGAGGCCGGCGAAGTGAGCATTGCGACGATCGCAAGCGGCCAGATGCCTTTGACTCCAGTGTCCTGCCGTGGACGGATTCACACGATCTTTGGTACCCAGGAGCGATACCCTGTGTGCAAGTATCCTGGCAGTCTGGAGGTTGAGGGGGGAGGCATCATATGAGCAACCGCCAAAACGTCCAAGGACTCATTTAGTAAATTTAAAGAGTGGTCGTGAATTTCAGGAAGTGGGCCCAAACCTGCAAACCGAGAGGCCCCCCTCAAAAGCGATGACGTTGTCAAAGCATCATGTGTCGACCTAGACAGAACCAAAGAGGGAAATGAACGCTCATGGGTGCAGCTCTTTGTGTTCTTAGTTTGCGCGCACAGGACACACAGACCCACACACACACCACCCAAAGCTCGGAAGAAACCTTAGGTCAACAAGGCTTGTGATTGGAGGGATTGGAGATCACATCTCCCTAAAAGAGGTGATGACCTGATGATGGATGATGAGGTGATTCCCTGTACCTCATCAGGCTTGCTGGGGTTCTGTGGGAACCATGAGTGCTTGAGCCATGCAAGCAGTCTATATGGCACAGGTTTGATGAGAGGAGAGGATGCTGGATGAATGTGCCAGTCAGAAAGTATAGGAAAAGCGATAGGGCCCCTCCAAAAGCGAGAACTTCACATTTCGTGGCATATACATTCGTTGGAGGTTTTGGCCGACGCACATATGGGAGGCGAAGAAAGGGCTGTGACTTTGAGGTTCATATGGGGAAAAGCCAGGATTGCGGACAGCCAGACATAAGAAAAAAGTCTTCTATGTAGGGGGCATGTAGGCGCCTGTAGCGGACGAACACATTATGCACACATTTAGGCGGTGAGCTGGTCGAGGGTGGAGTTGCGTCATCAGGGTTTTGGCAGCGTTATGGCCTTGAGGTTTATCATGTCGGACAAGCCGGGTCCAGACGGAGCAGAGCCTGTGTCGATCGTGGTGAAGCTAAGTGCTGCTCCAGGACAACGCTTGGAGTTGGACAGCATGGTGTTGGTGCTCAACGCTGAAGTGCGAGCGCTGTGGAAGCGCCCGGACGGTAGCATTCCGGAAGAATGGTTCTGCGATCGTCTTGCCCCTCGAGAGCTCGGGTGCAATATGGCAGAGCAGGGGAAGCGCAAGAGAGGTGTCTTGTGTCTTGGCTGAGCATGCGTGCAGCCAGCCCCAGCCCCGCGTCATCGTATTCCAAGGTCTTCACATGCAGCAGTAGGATGCAGAGGATAGGCAACAAGGTTGACTTAGCTTCACTTAGAAAGACTCCGGTTCCTTCTGAGCGAGCGGGGAAGGCTCAAAGCTTGTAAGTAGTGCAGGAGCGTGCAGCGGAGTCAGCGTGGGTCTGGGCACCGCATTGCCAAGGTCAACGATTCGGCTCCTGCGGGAAGACCCATCCTACGATGTCTATCCAAAGGCAGCCTTTGATGTATTGCCGTCGATGCCGACAGCGTTGCCCTCAGAGCCGGACGTGCAGATGGCCAACGTCCAAGTGCGGGTGGTGGACGTCGGGGACGTGTCGGGCGGCGACCGGGCGAAGAAAATGATTCGTGCGGCAGATGCAGCTGCCGAAGACGATTCTGTGGAGAGCTACTTGGTTTTACATGTGATCTGCTGGGCCACGGGAGAACAGCAGGCTTATACAGTTGTACCCCCAAGACAAAAAGACATACACGGGCGCTGCAGGGGCTACCCCAGGGGACTGGAGGAAATAGTTCTCGCCGGAGCGCTTCCGCGTGGGTGAGTTGAACACGGTTCCAACTGAGGCCTGTACGACATTGCACTGTATGACGGCCACGCCACCGCAGAGATGATCCGCGCAGAAACCACTATCGCGATCATTGGCTTGAGCTTGGTGCGTGGTGGATACGCATGCTACGGTGGCATGAGCATGATTGTTCCGTGCTGAGCACTGATTGAACGTGATTGGAACACGTGCATGGGTCCTGTCCTTACGCAACTGCATCAGCCATATATAGCACTGTCCTGACAGTATATGACTTTAATCCTTGCAGCAAGGCATCAACGAAAAACTTACGAAATTCCAGTTGAGATGACCCTTCCGTGCCTCAGCATGAAGCAGCTCTGCATTTGAGAGCCACGCTAGCTGTCCATGTTCACAGGACATGCGCCCGAGTCGCCTGCCCGAGCAAAGACCAGCATAGCCTGCGAAGAAATACGTTCATGTTAGGGGCGTAAAGGGACGAGTATTATGAGATGTGCATGTGGATCCGTTTCTGTGGATGATTCTGGAGTGCGGCCGGTGTGCGGGCAGGCAGGTCAGATTTTTGTATGGACTGAAGCGTAGCTGCTGTCCAGGAAGAAAAGGGTTGAGGGCTGGGAACAGAGAGGAAGGTGTTGATGCTTCGCCGGATGCATGAGGCATATAAGCATCATTCGAGTTCAGAGCTGATCTTTTTGACTGAAAGCAAAGCTCATGCTGCTGTGTCCACTTGTTCATCTACCAGTCCATTCCAACTTGTGAACTTGTTGGTCAGTTTCACAGAAGGCTGAGGTAGATAAAGCGACGCATGCTAAGGTTTCAAACCAAACTCTTCAGAGGTTGTGCCTTTTTGGTGGTTTGCAGTTTGGATGTACTGTCCTCGATGTACTCATCCAAGTCATTGTCAGGAGCTGAGGGATGGCTCATCCTCTGGAAGTACTTTCACCTCCAAGACCATCCTCGGGAGATGCCGGGACCCTATCGGATACGTATGTCCACGCAGTACCATAAAGTGTCAGTGGATGTGTATCCAACAAATACACAGTATGTGCCCACCCATCATGCTTCTAGATGGTTCGAAGTTGTGTGGCATGCTGCGAGTGGGGCTCGGTGGTGATCGAAGCCTGGCTTTCAGACGTTGGTACGCCGCCGCAGCTGTGCCTGGCCATGGAGGAGGAGAAGCTGTCGACAGACTTTCAAAAGCTTGGGGTCCGCGTAGACAAGAGCGAAGAGCCGGGAGAGCAGCACGCGGGGCATAGCACAGGAGACGATGGAGCTGCTTCCGAGGCAACAGCAATGCACAGCTTCAACTACATGTTGGACCTAAATGTCCCAGGCCATTTCGCAACCCAGGCCTCAGCGCGGCGGTTTCTGCAGAGCGTGATGTGCCTTGGCTGTCATGAGGTTAGAGCCTGCGTGAGGTCTGGGGGGATTTGCAGTGTTGGTCAAACTGCAAGCGCCAGGGGTGCTGCATGGTATAGATGCTGTCCCACGACGGATTGTGACGTGGTCGTGTCCATGCGCCACAATGCATCAGCCAGTGCATGCATAAGGGTTGTGTGAGTGTGTGGTGCTTAGTGTGTGTCTGAGGCCGTTGCGGTGGACTATGGCAATCCCACTGAAAGAAGGACTGCAAATTCGGTGCGCGTTCCAGGGCACGGCGGAGCAAGGCAAGCAGCTTCTCGAGAAGATCCGGGCGGTGGGCCGGCTTCGGGAGCTGAACGAAGGGGATGCGCAACGTCAGAAGCAGGACGTGGTGGGAGGGCTGGTGGTTAGGTGGGCAGAGGAAGGTGGTGACATGCGTAGACAAGCCTATCGAGCCTTCTTGGCAAAGTCTCTGCAGTTGTTTCGATTGCCCATGGATGGCCTTAGTTCTAGCCGCTGCTAGCCAGGCTCGGCAGCAATTGGTTGACAACGTGGCGTCACTGAAGCGTAGCAACGATGCAGCAGTTCACCTGGCCCAGCTGCTCCCTCCAGGGGGACGCGCGGCAAAGATGCGGCGTGCGGTTAGCCATTTGGGCGAAGTATTGGTCATTGGAGCCTTGTTGGCAGAACAGCAGCAAGATTTGTGTTGTAAAGTCGAGGCCCAAAGTATCAACGCGGCCAGCTGTAGCTTTGCGGGGGCACATTTCGAGACGAAGCCAAAACTGTCCGCGATTGTCGGTGTCAGGGGTGTCGCAGGAACATGACCAATACATAGCTAGCGCCAAGGCGCTAGTGCGGGGTTTTCCTGCCAAGGAAGTCGCGTGACAGCTGCCACGGTTCGATCAGCCAGCCAGAGCGTTGCTGACAATGTGCCTGCAGAAGAAGAGGCCATGGTGGGGAAGAGTGAGAGATGGAGAAAGTTTGGGTCAGGGGTGTAAGAGCAGTGCTGGGTGTATGGGTTTGTAGCAGTGGCATGCTGTTGGAGCATGTTGGGGTTTTATCCCTGACGCCTGAGGAGGAGCTAGAGAACTAACGCAGTCTGATCCATGGCCTGTCACCAAAAAAATTCAATCACCTAGATCAGAGAAGGATTAGATCAGAGCAGGGTCGCATGAAATTTTATGTTTTTTTATTTTTTTGCATTTTTTCACATTTTTTAATCAATTTTCCACATTTTTAATCATATTTTCACATTTTAAAACATTTTTTCACATTTTTCACTTTTTTTTCATTTTATTTTTTGTTTTAAGAAAAGTTACTATTTTGGGGGAAAACACCTCAAACACAACATGGTCCATCAAATTGTGATTCTTGGGGAGAAGTTATCCTAACAACTGAACACATTTGACGATGATGTCATCCACCACGTGCAGGACGAACCTTAGACGACAGAAGTTACTAAGTGGAAGTTGCTTGACATGAAATTAAGGCATCTGGTAGACGCTGGTGGTGCTGGACACCATCCTCTTGCAGCTCTGCCACTGCTGTTACAGCAGACGACTCCTGCTGCAAAGGAATGCCTGCAGCCTTGGGCGGGACAGTAGACGACGACACCTGCTCATGCTCATCTTCTGACGTGTAGGTGTCACCTTCCCCCACCTGAGACTGAGGTGGGTGGAACATCTGCTGAGGCATCATCCCACCATACATCTGGGGCATCATAGGACCACCAAACATCTGCGGCATCATACCTCCAGGCAACATAGGCGGCGCCCCACGAGCCTTTTTCTGTGCCCGGTTCACTGCACTGCGCACCGACATGGCAACAGCACGGTCTAGTCAGACACAAGACGTTTGAGAAGACAGCTGACTGCAGCAGTCATATCACGCTCCAGTTCGCATGTACAATTAAATTTTTGCATGTTTTTGCATATTTTTGCATATTTTCTCATGTTTCGAGATTTTTCGAGATTTTTCGAGATTTTTTGAGATTTTTTGAGTTGATTTCTGCTAAGATTTTCATTGTATTTCAATATTTCTTTTTATTGTTGAGATTATAGCTTACAGCAGACTACAGCAGACAGTAGGTTCACAGCAAGGACACAAAACAATTAACTGTGAAATAAGGTCAAAAATGGTCCAAAGTCATCTATACTATCAATTTCTGACCTAAGTGGTGCACCATGGTTCAAAAACATGTACAAACATATCTGGTTTAACTTTCTCAAACCTTTAAACAAATAGGTTCACCAAGTGCTCACAAACTGTTCATCGTTGAGATTATGAGTTCATCCATGCAACCCCGTTTTAGTCACATGTTAATCCAATTTATGCCCAATGGGTTCTCACAAGTTCTTACGTGTCCAAACGTTGGCCATGTTATGTTTTTAATCATTTTTTTATCATTTTTTAACATTTTTTATCATTGTTTCTCATTTTTTATCATTTTTTCATTTAAAACATTTTTTTGCATTTTTTATCATTTTTTTGCATTTTAAAACATTTTTTTGCATTTTAAATCTCTTATCGAGATTTTAAATCTTATTGGAAAGTATTCCATTCCAAGAACTCTCCGGTGCAGGGTATTGAATTTTTTTGGTGAGCCTGTTTGACTTGCCTTTCATTGATGCGTTGCAACTTCAAAGGAGTTGCGTGGGCATTGCACTGCGAGCGCACTGCAAGCGACCTCATGAGCAGGTGGTTTGCGGAGCCGCGCGTCGAAGTCTGGAAGCGCGCTTCACAATGAAGCCGAAAGGCGAAGCGGGACGACGGAAGAGCAGTCAAAGAGAAGAGCAGCAGAACGATCAAAGAGCTTTTCGTGAAACTCTCGAAAGCTGTTCTTTGCAGAAGACCCCGTTTCCAACGGATATCCGCCGCTTCCACGAAGAAAGAAAGAGCGCTGTCATTTGGACGCCTTTGGCTTCACCCCCACACAGGCAGATCCAATCAAATGAACCCTTAGTTCCAAGACTAGAGCCGCAGACAGAACGATCGGCACTGGTTTGCGGTGCGACTCTCCGACGAACGCATTGGTGCCACGCGGTCTCAACGGCGCACGCGTTCGGACCTGGACGCTGCAGGCACTCCCGCAACATGAAGCAGGAGAAAGGGGGTACTTCTTGTAAGCAAGGGGGAGAAAAAAGTGCACCTCCAACACAATTTGACTGCCATGTCACCGACTTTTTGCCATGTTGGCGTTTCCCTGAAATCTGGAGCGGCTGGGTGAAGCGCAATGTTTGGTCACCAGGTTTCTCGGTCAATCATCGGGCCTCCGACCGATGAAGTGGCAGAGTACGAAAATGTCTAATTCCCGGGCTGGTGGACCACAGCTGGCTTCGTATTGGAGTGTTGCTGCCCCACATCATCATCCAGAAAGACTGCTTGCACACCGCAAGGGAACATGAACTTTGTGATTCTCTGACGGCACCATGTGATCCAATCACCAAGGTACTGTCCGTGTAAGAAAGGAAAACCACTGAGATGAATTTATGGCACTTATGCTTCTATGGCATAATCAATCGTCGAAGGAGCCATTGAAACCGTGCATGCCGGTAAAGCTGCCTCGTTGGCGGTGGCTCCCATGTCCAGTTCCCTCTCTTCCCATCAATCAGTAGGGCCAGAACCACACATCTGCCGTGGCAGCGGTCGATTTCAACCACCATGGGATTTTCCCCCCCAAACAATGGGTCATACAGTCATACATCCAATAATTCCGAAACGTAGTTTTTGAGATAATAATACTAACTCAAGCGAATTCCTGTCTCCGCAGAGCATCACGATCGACACCGGAGGAGTATGCTGAAACCACTGACCTGAAAAACGAAGCGTAGATTTCCCCAGTAAACGCCCATACCAGACTATCTTGCATATGAGTGGTATGTTGAGGATCTCTCTCCCCAGACATGTCCCAGCTCGTTCGGAGTACCTTCAGTCCACCGCTCTCGCCGACCCAGGTGGCCATTGTCCGCGCCGGGGCGATCCTTCTGCTGATCCGGCTGCAGGAGGATCAAGAGCATAGGTGCCCGGTGGACCGAAAACGGGTCGTTCGCGTCATCCGTTGGGTGCATGCGTGGCGGGTAGAAGGGACAGGCGAAGAGCCGCTTCGGCGCCAAGGTGCTGGTTGCGTTCAAATCCGGATGTTGCGGTTCAATGGCATGCGATCAATCTGGCTAGCTTATAACTTCAGTCATCGCAGGTGGCTAGCGCTGACCTGTTGGTATATGATCTAATGCAAGTGCCCGGAGTCATGTTGATAACACTGCGAAGAGTTAAACCTATGGCAGGCCTTGACCGTTTCATCTACTGAGCCGTACGTTGAGGACCCAGCCGGTGACAGCTTCCCATTGGAGCAAGTGACCTGGGACAAGTTTTTTCTAGACTAAAAAGAGATTGCCAGGACACTTGTGATTTGAAGGATTAAAAGGGAACAGACAAACGATTCGATCTGGAGTCAAGTTCATGAAACTAAAAATATCTCCCGCCTGGAAACCCAAACAACCAGAAAGAAACGGTTGATCCAATATTGGCAGTTGAGATCCTTTACATACCAGCAAGTGTTGGTTTGGGGAAGCATCCATTTGTTTCTGGAGTGTTTCTCGTTGTTTGGGTTTCCAGGTATACATCACATCACCCTTTCCTTGTTCAGGTGGTGCGGGCTACTTCTGCCCTGCAGAGCCTGGAGCTTTTCGAGGTGGCGGAGTGACTGCGACCTATGCCTGCATGGATGCCTGGTTGAGAGCAACGGATTGGCTGGGTGCCGAGGTTAATGCAACTTTTGATAAGGGATGCTCCCGTAGCAACACAGCTTTCGGGTGAGTGGATGCTCCAAACATGCAATATAATAGACTCCTGTTGGGTGATGACGGTGAAGACCAGGCCCACGCTGATGGTCGTTGTCGCCAGCCCTAGGACCGCAGAACATCGCGCAAGCTTTTTGGACCATTCGCGAGGTTGCATCGTCGACCGAGGATTGGACGTTCGGACATTCAGCGATGCGATCAGCTGAAGCAAGCTTCAGGGGTGAGTCTGGCCAGGATGCCCCTTGGCAACCACGTCCTGTGTTTCTACTAAATGGCCAAGATTCTGAACAGTGGGATGCATGGGTTCATATCAGGGTTCTAGGTGTGCATTGCTTGATCGTGCCAGCAATGGACGGGAAGTCCCTGGCTCAAGTTAGGCAAGGATCTGCCTTGTATGCTGACGGTGGTGTGTTTCCAGATTGCAGCTTGTAGTACAGCCCTTGTACAAGCTTCCCAAGATACAAGTGTTGCAAGGGATATCCTCAAGTATGCAGAATACATACTGACTGAAGAGAAAAATGCCTGAAGCTGTCGCAATGCTTGGCCAGGCCAATCATATCCATAATCATAATCGTGATCCATTGAAGCCTTTTGAAAACATGCTTTCCTGGACCTTCCAACTAGCAAAAAAATCTAGTCGTTTTGGTTTTAAGGTCGTATTGGTCCTTTCGTTGTTTTGCGTTATTTTGCGGACTTTTGTGGTCGTTTGCTTGTTTCTGGCGTGCGTTTTGCGCTAATTTGCGGTCGCTTTGTCGGTTGCGCTGATTTGCGGGTGTTGGCGCAGCAAACCGGGTCAATAACCAAAACTGCCACAATTTGTTGGTCGTTGGAAGATCCAGATGGTTGCATGGCAAACACAGTGTCCTAGGAAACGGTAGCAATGTGGGGCTCTTCTTCGAGACCTTTTTTGTATCTTTTCGTTTCAGGTCTACTTCGGTGTGGGCACCTATGGCATTGCTGGAGACCGGCAGCGTGGACAGGGAGCGTGCTACAGATTGAAGGCAGACCTTTCAGCGAAAAAGACTGGATATATAAAGACAATCATTGCTTTCGGTTTTGTGCCAAGGATGTAGATGTGGAGTCTCGGAGCCAGTGAAAGTCTATGTGAGGAGTAGGTACTGTGGTACCGAATGAATGTATAGTATATATATATATACACACTATGAATTCGGCCTGCGAGTCCAGCGTCTGAGGGCATGAAAAGCACGCAATGTCGTCTGCACAGGTTGAAGGTGTTGACAAGGACATCATAGCCCAATCCATCAACACAGGCCGATGTTTCTGGGTATCCGGGAGAGCTTGTCAGGCATCGATGAAGTTCAGAGGAACAGATGAACCATGTTGGTGCGAATCATGGGCCCTTGAGTCAGAAACATGTCCCCGTTCTTCAAAAGAGCCTTCCTTTCCAGTAAAAACACTTTCGAACAGTCAATTTTTTGAGATGGCAGAGTAGGTTGCGGTTACCCAGCAGTTTCCTGGATGGTGCTGTTTTCATTCATGCTTACGACATCTTGCAAACCTTGGATATCCATGATGCTGCCAGGGTGGGATGTCGATGGAAACCAGTTCGACCTGCAAATTGCGGCTGGCGGGGCTGGAGCCTTCAACGTTTGTGCGGGCTCGGCCGGGAGCATGTTCTCTGGAGGCGGCTGTGGCAGTCGAGAAACGCTTAAAAGGATTTTTCAGGATGGCTTTGTAGGTCGGTTTGGCAGGGGGTCCACTGGGAACGACGCGCAGGTATGTCGGTGGTGTCCATTATCCCCACACAGAAGGCGTTCGGTAAACCAATGTTATCAATTTATCCGCCACAACGGGGTGCTTTGACTGAAGGGCTCCTGAGACTCGTCAATGACGTTTTTTGGATCTTCTCATTCCATCTCATTCCAATGTTTGATGTTCACATGGTTCACAGGTACGATGTGTATGATTTAGAGTGGTCCCCCTTCCGGGGGCACGGATATAAACATCGGGGTCTCCAAGGTCCTAGACATACCCAAAATTTGAGACAGACTGACAGGGAAACATCCAGAATCCAGGTGAGGTTCTTTACAAACAGACTAAGCATGTCATTGGATTCGGAGGGTTCCACACTGGTTGCGCATTGCGGCAGAGAAGTGAGTTGAAGAGCGCATTTGGGAGCACTCATTGCCTGCAGGTCTGGACCGAAGGCCTGGCTTTTCTCGGCTTTCTTCCATCGCTTCGAACACGATCCTCGCTTTGCTCCGAGGAAGGATTGATCTACTGAGCCGTTCGTTGGAGGCCCAGCCGACGTCTCATTGGAGCAAGTGACCTGCGACAAGTTTTTTCTTTAGTAGAAAGAGATTGCCAGGACACTTGTAATTTGAAGGCTTGAAAGGGAGCAGATAAACAAGTCTACAATCTTTTGCGCAATACCATGCAATCAATCTGGCTAGCTTATAACTTCAGTCTTCGCAGGTGGCTAGTGCTGACCTGTTGGTATATGATCTAATGCAAGTGCCCGGAGTCATGTTGATAACGCTGCAAAGAGTTGAACCTATGGCAGGCCTGGACCGTTTCATTTACCGAGCCGTACGTTGAGGACCCAGCCGGTGACAACTTCCCATTTGAGCAAGTGACCTGGGACAAGTTTTTTCTAGACTAAAAAGAGATTGCCAGGACACTTGTGATTTGAAGGATTAAAAGGGAGCAGAGAAACGATTTAAACGATCTTTTGCGATTCAACACCATGCAATCAAGCTGGCTAGCTTATATTGATCACAGGTGGCTGGTGCTGACGAGTTGGTCTTTGATCTCATGCAAGTGTCGGAGTCATGTTGATAACACTTCGAAGCGTTGAACCGATTGCAGGCCTTGACCGTTTCGTCTACGGAGCCGTTCGTTGGAGGCCCAGGCGGTGACGACGTCTCATTGGAGCAAGTGACCTGGGACAATTTTTTTTGACTAAAAAGAGATTGCCAGGACACTTGTAATTTGAAGGCTGGAAAGGGAGAGGATTTTTCAACGGAGCGTGTTGACTCCCACGTTCAGAGATGACATTGGGACAGATTGGTTTGAACTGACTGAATGTTGCACCCGGTTTGCTGATCGTCAGTAAGGCGTGTCAGGCCGAATTTGTCCCAGACAGTGAGTTAGATCTCAACACTGTAGCCCGGACTTTTCATGCATCGGACCATGTGTACCTTAGACTCGTCATCTCCGACGAAGCCAATCCATGGGTCGTCTCGGCGAAATCCGACCCGCCTGTAGACCCAAGCACTCGGGGTGAAAGATGCTTTGAATTTTTTCCCCTGCAGCCAATGCTGGGGCTTAGTCCAAATACTTTGGGAGGTAGGTTCTGCCAAGAAGTTGTTTTTGTAGAAGGGCACGCCAAAGTCCCTATTGTTCCTGCCTCCTTGCACGTTTTGCTCCAAGGCCCATGGATGCTCGTGAGCGGAGCTGGCGTGTGTGCCTTGAAGTAGCGTGAAGTGATGACTTGAAGACAGCAACAGCTGTTTCCTTTGCACCGCGCAGAGACATGAATAAACAGGGGGCTCCATGTGAGGTTTTGAAGACAGCAAACATCAGCAAACATTTGCACGCTCCACGTGTACCATGTCTCTCACCTGCCGGCCCTGGAAGAAAGCCTGTTAGCCCTGCAGGAAAAGGTACACGAACGGGTGCAATGGGCACGAAAACCATGGATTTCTAAGTATGACCCAAAGGTGTCTTAAAGATAAAGGAGGTGAAAAGCCGCCCCAAAAGATGGAGCCTTTAGAAAAGGCACTGCGTTTAGGAGAGCTGCCCAATATATCGGGCCACGATGGAATTCCAGGAAATCGTAAAAGTGGGCAGGTAAAGAGGCCACCTGTCGGTTTGACATTGTTATCCCAGACAGCTGCCACGACCACCCTTGGTCCAGTGAGATCCCCAAGGCATGTCGTATGGAAGGAAACCCACCAAGAAGCGTCGTGCATTCGCTTCTCCACGTGCTGCCCCGGCTGCACAAAACGGATGCATAGGAGACAGTGCGTAGGGACGGAGCGGGCCCTTCCCCAGACCGGTGAGGAACGTGAGGTCAAGCGACTTGTGTGGTTGAGCCCATTGTGAGGCTAGTGCATGCCTGTAGACAAGGCTCAAGTCATCAAGAGCGATGATGCTGGGCGGGACCTGCCTGTGCCTGCCGTGCCGGCGTAAAACGCACGAGGCCTTATGCGCGGGCTTTAAATGCGCAATGCCTTCTGCACGGGCTTTAAATGTGCAAGGTGCCGGACGGCACTTAGCAGGCTTGTCCTGTGCCTGTGAAGGCGCCCAAGTGTGGGCAATGGTCGCGGAGCCTTTTCCTGTCCTTATTGTTGTCGTTGCTGATGTCGTTGTGGTTCTCGTTGCCGTAGTGCCTCCTCGTGTCGTTATGGTAGTGGTTATGCTTGTGAGGCCACGCAATGCCGCTCGACGCCAGGTGCCATATCAGTCAGTAAAGCCAACGCCGAATCCGGCGAGTGAACGGGACAGGTCGCGGACGCTTCGCGTTGGAGCGGCAGGAAGCAGGCCAACGGTGTCCCACGGTAGGGCACAAGGATCACGGTTAGATTGTGTGAATTGCCGACGACGAGCGTATGCGCAAGCCGCAATCGGACAGCGCAGCGTGTTGCGGCTAGGTCGGTCGCAGGAGTGGTGTGAGCCCTACTTGGTCGGTGCACGCGGCTGCAATGCTGTGCCGATCATGGTATTTGGCCTGGTGACGACCGAGTTATGGGTAGATGCGCGAACTGCGCACTGCGCGCGGTCCACGTGCAGGTGGCCGCAAACGCAAAGGCATGCAAGTCTGTCGGTGGCATGCGCCTGTGCAACAGCCCGCCTTAACGCAGCACGAGGGCAGCAGCAGACGCGGTCGCGAGGACAGATGACGCAATGGCAATCGCCGGCAACTCGGGGAAGACAGCAGAAGGCTCTATCACCCAGGTGTAACTGTCTGAAGATAGGCAAGGCGCGTCGACCACCTGCACGGGCATGGGCGCGCCAATTCCGGCGACGCAGTCGCGCACGCAGGTCGCTGCCGGCGTCGCGCGGGTGCTATCGTCGGGTGGGGCGACGTAGCACCGTCAAGGAGTGCCCGACGGGTAGTGGTTCCAAAGCTGAGGGAATGGCATCAAGCGACGCCCGAAAATTGGGCGACGGACAGAGCGTGAATGCGGACAACAGCATCCACGGGCTGCGAGGACATGATCAGCTGCACCGGGCCTGGTCGAGGGTGCCCGTTGTTCGGCGAAGCCATCCGATGTGGGGCTTGCAAAGGGACAGCCAAGCCGCGCGTCCAGCGACGGATGGGTGCTGCCGAGCGACGCGGGCAGTGCCACAGCACACCGATGGGGTGGAGACGGAGGGGTTTCCGCCGCTAGAGACAGAAGAAGGCGGCGTGGTGGATGTGTGTGCGTCGTGGCCGTTGGCTGGCGTCTTACGGCTGCGTCGGCGCTTCTGCGGCGGAGGGCCGGCGCCAGAGCTGCGAGAGTTGGTGGCAGGGATCTGCTACTCTGTGCTGAGTGACGCAAAACAAGTGGAAGAGCTATTGGCACAAGATTGGGTAGAGTCATGGCAGGGCTGGGCAGAGCTGGAAGCGGACGGCAGTGACAGCGTTGCCATGGCCGTGGCCGAGCGTTTCCTGCAAGTTGCTCGTGCAAAGGTGCCGGTCCGCGTGATCTCGAACCAAGCACGGCTGCGTGAACTGGAGCAGGAAGGCCTGGCCCTAATGATGGCTTCCTCCCATGGTGTGAATAATTGCCTCATTGATGCTTTATTGCTGGGCCTGATGGTCACGGGCGTGGTTCCGCGGAAGTATTCCGTGGATGAACGTGCAGCTGTGTGTGCCATGTGCCGGAAAGACTTACTACTGGAGTACGCAACCCCGCATGGTATCTACTTAGATGGGCACAGAGACGCCCCACGTATTTTGAATTTTTCTTGCGGAAGCTTTGGGCGGTAGAGGTCTCCGTGCGTGTGTACTTCTATGATTGCCTCGATCAAGCCGAGCTGGGCGAAGCCGCTAGTGACCTCGCATGTATAGATTGGACTTCTGGCTCGGAACCCAGCGACGGGCAGCAGACCCTGTATGTGTACAATCACACCGACTGGACAGGCAAGGGGTATCATTTTGATGCGTTAGTCCGCACAGCCACGTGCGGGCATGACGTTGAGAGCGCATCACCAGCAGTTGATGACGTCTTGCGCGCGCAGGAGTGCACGGGCAGGGCACAGGTCCCGAGCGCTGGCAACGGCGAAGGGGCGGCGCCGCAGGTACCGGCTGTCGACGAAGTGGAAACGATATTGGGGGACTTCTTTCGCTCGCGCGGCGCGCGCCTGACAATAACGCGCAGAGACGCGGCCGCCGTTGTCGCAGGCTGGTATGATGGAACAGCTTTGATGGAAACATTACATACGTTGCTGCAGGCCGGGCTTGTGCATGCGGACTCAGGGCAACACGCTGCACGCAGGCTGGTGGACCAATGGCGCGCGTACTGGGCAGTTCGGACCGGTGGCCCAGGCCGACCACTGGGCTCGCAGCGTGCAGCGCCGGAGCCGGAAAGGTGGACCGCGCAAAAACGAACCGAGAGCGAGGAATCGGTGATGAGCGCGAAGCGTCGACCACCAGGTAAGGGTCCAGGACAGGAGCCCAGGCCAGGGCCGGGTGAGCAACAGACGGGGCCCGCAAGGCCACAGCACAGCACGAAGAGGCGGTGGGAGGCTGCGCAGGCGAAGGCAGAGCCCGCAGGCAACACCTGGCAAGATCGAAGAGCTGAAGAGCCCCATGCGAAAGATCGGTCAACGTGGCGGCCAACGAAACGGCTACGAAGGAAAACATCCGTAGCGGCTAGCCAAAGCACCACAGCCAGCGGCGAGGTTCTGGACGATGACCAGTACGTGCTGCAGGTGCAAACCGTCGAAAAGAGCAAGGACCACCGTCGCACAGAAGAACTACGCATCGAGCGCCTGAGTGAAGCAATCAGCGAGCGGCCGACGTTGCCGTGGAAGTGGCAAAAGATGGACGCAGGGGTGGCGTATGACCTGCCTTATGTACACTGCAGTTTCAAGTCGTGTGAGTTCCAAGCAGACAATGACGAAGCCCTGGCTGCGCACATAGTCGTTGCTCACGACGCGGCCTTTGCAGGGGCCAGCGAGGTAACACTGACCGAAGCAGAAAAGCTACGTGCGTACCAGGCAGCGGTTACGTGGCGCTGCCAGCAAGGCGCGCCTGTGGCAAACGTATCCATAGACAGGCGTGCCCTGAGACTGTATCGGGAAAGCTTGGAAGGAGACAATGTCTCGTCGTTGCTGTGCTTTGTGTGTGCACAGAAGTACCCGCACGCCAAGACAGGACGAAACCAACCGATACGGTGGATACGGCCGTTGGACAGCGAGGGGACAAGTGTATTTGGCTTAAGCGTACCAGAAGCCGAGAAGGTGTTGGGAATAGAAGCGTATGTGAACGCTTACGTCGCTGGGGCCACGGTGTTCGCGCAGGCTGAGATGAAGAAAGAGTTGCGGGACTGGTCATGTGTAGTCAACTTGCAGGGGAGGCTGCTAACCTTGCTGTGCTGCCCCGAAGACAAACAATGCCAGAAGCGATGCAAGCCGGAGGAAATGTGCACGAAGTGTTGCGTGCCAGTCTGCAATGGCTGTCGACGGGCTTTACTGTGGGAAGGAAAGCAACCTGCAGCGGCCTTGAGCAATGACATGATGGTGTATTATGCGCCGCACAACATTTTTGAAAGAGAAGTCACAGTAATGGAGATGCTGTGTGCAAGCCCATGTCTTACAACGATGGTCTGCTTCAGCTTGGAACAGAGGCTACGAGGGGATCGCGCCTTAGATCAAAAGCAGTGGATGAATCGAAACCGATTGGTGGCGCGTGGCAATGCAACGACGTTCCCTTTGGCGTGGGAGGACTTGCTGCAGCAGATGCAGCAGTTAGAGGCAGGAAACAACGGCGCAAAGCACGAAAAGAACAAGGGTGGGCTACCGCACTGCGGGGAAGCGCTCCGGCAGATCGCCAGCGTGATCGTGAAGAGCGCGCACGCAAAAAGCGACGACCTGGACATAGGCGTCAGGTCGTGGTGCAGCTCATAGAGGCTGCGGTGAAGCGAGGT